GTTTGGTTATTTGTCGATTCTGATGAATCGAAGGGGGGATTATGTGGTGTACTGTGCCTTTAAGAATGTGAGCGCGCCTCCAAGCGTGAGCGCGCCCTTTGTTTGGAGTCCAATTTTACCATCTCGCTGTGATGACATGTTCCCTTCTCTCTCGCTAAATAAAACCTTGTCCAGAGCTGAGATATCGTCATTTTTTAAGGGTTTTTTAACATTCAGCAACTTCCAGCAATCCCGCAGCAGCAGCAAGCAGACGACGACGAGACGGAGGGAACAAGCCACAGACCGACAGCCTCAGAAGAGCCGAACCGAACACATCACTACCCTAAACAGAAATTAAAGTGTAACTACCCCCAAAATGTAAAAAATATGACAGAACAGAAATAATATGTTAAATTTCAAATCTAAATGTGTTAAAGTGTTAAAGTTTACGTTTGAGAATTTTGAAATGGCATGCAGCCTTTACTGTTGGTGCTTGGCTCATGTCATTAGCCTAAGACAAACACAACCACTAGTGCCTAAAAGCTGATAAACGCTTCCTTACATTCATTTGCAGCTGGTGTCCAAGCTGCACTTCAAACTGTCCAACCACAACTACCAATCTATTGTTTTCAATGAACACATTTTGAATTTAAATTTTAAATGTTATCTTATGTTGCATAGTAAAAGTGAGCAAAATGTAAGAACAGTTAGCTAAACAACAAAGAAATGTTAGTGGGATTTTTTTAACTAGGATTTCATACTCAGAAAGTGAACTAAATAATGAAAACGTGTCAGTGACATTTTGCAATGTTTTATTTCACACTTGGTGTCATATAAATAAAAATTTTATCAAAAATTATTGAGGTGGAAAATCTAAAACAAGCATCTTGAGTTCCGACTATGTAAATCTTTTGCACTAAAACGTCCTTTACTTTGTTTCATTTTTCATTATTTTATGGACTAATGAAGTCTGTGTCCAAAACTAATGTGAATGTTTCAAAATAAAGGAAAAAAGCTGACTAACAGTTGCTTCTTTCAAATTTTGGCGCAAATGTTCGTTCTCAGACTATAAAGTTTGACTCACCAACTGTGCTCCTAATTTTCTGTCAGAGCGCTGAGGTTTTCTTTCAACATGATTATTTTTCTTCCACTCTCTAATGTATCTGTTTCTGTGTTGTTTTTCAGAAACTTAAACACCATGACTAAATTTTGTTTCCTTTTCAAACTAAACTGAGTTTCAGCAATCATTTACCAATTCACTTTAATCCAGAGTTAGCTTATATTATTGAGTGTTAAGGAGATCAGACTGTAAGAAAAGATTAACTCCTGACAAATTAAAGATTTCTCACCCAGCAAGATGAGCCAGAACCGGCTGTCCATGTTGCAGGTTTTCCCACAGTTTTCTTTCCAGTTATTTATCCTCATATGTGAATGTTTGAGTTTCAGAGGAGGAAGTGTCTACAAGAAAACATTCAGCAGAGCAGCCGATAAAATCATAAAGTGTTCTTTCATCTCCGTCCAACACGTCAGCTGAACAAAGGTCAGTCAGATACAAGGGGACAGCTTCCTCCTTCTTAATGGGGTTTATTAAATTCAAAATTTGTTCTTAGAGCAAGATTATGTTTCTGTAAATATTCCCAAATTCGCTTTTGCTCCAGATTTAGTTCCTTTCTTGCTCACAAGTCACCTATAAAGGAATATGAGCTACACTATTGGCTGTAAAATCCCCTGTAATAATAAACATTAACTAATTTATTAAATAGGGGAAAGTACGCATCAATAGATGACCTGGTAGTAAAATGTTCCACAAAAAACTGGTCAAAACATAAATCTCACAGTAACTGCTTCAAACTAGTTTACTTTGATGGGTTCTGTTAAGATTAAAACAATACTAGAGAAATGGACAAAGGAATAAAAAACACCACCTTTTCACTTATTTTTTATTTTTTTGAGTGAACAGATTAAATCAGTGCTGCATTCACTAAACATCAGTGGTCTGAGTCTCATGTTTAATACGCATAAAAGTTGTGTGTGCCAGGTTTTATGCACACGCCGGGATGTTTCCAAACCAACGCTGCATTAAAGGTTGCATAAATATACGTATGTTTTTCACCTGCCGTGAGAATGTGCAGACAGCAAAGTTTTTTAGTTGACAATTTTAACCCACAGAGTCAATCTCAGATGAATCCACAGAAACATGATTCTATTCTGTTTTCTGGAGGTAAGGAGCGTCTGAACACGGTATTCAATTTTTTAGTTTGAGCTTTTATTGTTTAAACCTGATCAATGAAACAGAACCTCATTTAACCTCAGACACACTTTACAAAGAGCTAACAAGCAACCAAAGCCAGACTTAACAACTACTATCATGTTAACACTTTGTTTTCTCTAACAACAGCCGATGAAGCTAAATTTGTACATTTCTTTTTTTTTTCGCCAATACAATCGACACTTTAGATAAATAATAGTGCTAACTGTTAGCAATGCTAATAGCCATTTTGGGTATGTTCGTTTTGCACACTGCTTGAGCCCGTAAGTGAAAAGGAGTTACAAAATTAGTTCCTTCGAAGCGATTCTTCAGCTTTCATGTACACGTTTTGCTCTTTTTTAGAAAGGTGTAACAGCCTAGAAACTACTCTAAATGTTGTGTACGTTCATGGCTGATAAACTTGTTTGGTTATATGATCAAGACAAAAAACAGAGCAGCATAAAAATGATCCAAACAAACTCAGTCCACTGTAAACTGTAAAGATTTATTTATACAGTATAATATATACATTTGTTCAGACATAAAGATATGTTTTTGTCAGATAAACATACATCAGAGGTGCACACACACAGTTGAGGAGAATAGAATATGGGAATTGTCTAAAAAGCATTTTGGGTAACACTTTCAGCACAAGTAAATTAAATTGCTTAACTGCTGAGGAACCACACAGTAAATAGTAATTACAAAGGACCCATAAGAGGAACTACTGTGTAGTCACTGAGTGGTTCCTATAGTTAGACTTAGGTTTCCTGACTTGTTCTTCATTTCTGCTGCTATAGACTTAGACTTGTGGAGCACAAACTGATCACATTTCCTCACTCTGCTGTTGTCTTTAGTCTCTCTTCTCTTCATGTTTATTGTAATTATTTCTATCAATAACATGTTTTTTTCTTTGTCTCTTTTCCAGAAGAAGGTGCACCTGGACCAGTTCTTCTGTGTTTCTCTGTGTCTCTTTCCTGTCCTCCAACCAGCCGGTCGAGACAGATGGCCGCCTGTCCTGAGCCTGGTTCTGCGGGAGGTTTCTTCCTGATTAGCAGGGAGTTTTTCCTCTCCACCGTTTGCTCAGGGTGGGAGACTGTGATGAAGTGATTCAACACAATCTGCTGGCTTCTTCTTTAGATTGTTCTTTTTATGTACAGTGCCCTGAGACAACGTATGTTGTGACTTGGCACTATATAAATAAACTGAATTGAATTGTTACTAAGGACACAAAAGAGGAACTACTCAGAAACTACTTTAGAAGATGAAGTAAAAAAGAAAAGAAAGAAGTTCTTTTTAGAACTTTACTTGAGGGTACACAAAAACAGAAGGACTGTGATCAGTTATACATCGGGGAAACAAAACAGCCACTGTTCAAAAGAACAAGCCAGCACAGACGAGCTAAATCATCAGGCCAGGACTCTGCAGTTTACACTCATCTACAGGCCAGCGGTCACTCTTTCAGAGATGAAGATGTTCTCATGGTTGATAGAGAGGAACGTTGGTTTGAGAGAGGAGTAAAGGAAGCCATCTTTGTGAAGAAAAACTGTTCACCATTAAACAGAAGTGGAAGTCTTCGTGTCCAGTTGTCCTCCTCCTACATTTCCCCACTATGGGATCAATAAAAAGTTTTTTTAATCTTACTTTTTACCACCTTTTGCACCAAATTAATCTGAGTTAATCAGCCCTGCTATTTAACTATAAGTTTTCCTTCGTAAGGAAGATTATCAAATGGCTTCGCCAAAATCTGGTCCACAACATTCAAACTGTCTGCCATATGTGCAGCTTGCTACTGGTGCGAGAATAGAGAGTGAAGTGTGTCCGCCTGTGAGTGCTTTGCGACTAAGGGGCTCAGCAGCTCCTGCTGGACAGAAGAAGTCAGAAAGAGTCTTCAAACATAAGCAGCTACAGAACAACCACCAGAAATAGAAGCTCGATTTGTTGCTAGTCTTTTTTAACAAAGAAAATGCTGCTAAAAGGATTAATAAAGTCTCCGGTTCAACTCCGAACAGAAACTAAACTAAAAACTGCTCCCACGGAATGTTTACACCAAAAGCTCGCTGATTCGCTCATTACGCTGTCAATCAAAAAGGGATTCAACCTCCAACAGATCATCCAACTATCATGCAGAAGCTGAGCGTCTGGGCCAGCCGAGGCCCGCCCACTATCCCAAAGACCCCCAGAGACGCTCAGCGTCTGGGGGCGGGACAAAGCCAGCATTTATCCAAAGACTCGTCTAGTTTCGCTGCAGTCTTTGCATCACTAATGAGCTCTATGGAAACTCAGCGTCCGACTGTTTAAAGCACTGTGAAGCTGCGGGAATGAGTGAGAGTAAAGTTGTGTCGTTACCAGTGATAAGAAGCTGATTCTGAACTAAACTTGAGCGCGTTGTAGTGCATATTTAGTCAGTGACATGTACACACAACATTATATGTTTGATCTTTTTATTTTTTACATTTTAGGGGAAGCTGAGCTTCTCTTGCAGTCTTAGAGCAATCACCTCTGCAGTAATTACTCAGTAACTATTCAGTAACTACTCAGTAACTATTCAGTAACTACTCAGTAACTATTCAGTAACTACTCAGTAACTATTCAGTAACTACTCAG